CTTTACACGCAAGGTTACATTTCTTACCCACGTACTGAGACTACTTCGTACGCAAAAAACTTTGATTTTAATGAAGTCCTAAGGGCTCATTCGAATCATGATATATGGTATGATGTTTGCGATCGATGTATATTGTGTGGAAGAAGATACAACTAACTTATTTACGACGACGGCGTAGGGGGTCATGTTCCAAAGAACTATTGGAAAATGGAATCGAGCGTCCTACAGGAGGGGTTGATGTCGGTAAGTACTGAGCAAAATATAATTTTAAAATGAATTTTCCAAGTATTTTGTTAATACTACACGTGTACTTTCGCTCGATACATTTTCAGGCGATCACCCGCCCATGTATGTACCCAGATCGTTTGATTTCTGCAAGAAATATAAAGTTTTCAACTGCAATTGAGCATAGAATATGATTTTTAGAACACCTACGAGAGCAGCGCGGGAAGGCGAATTGTCTGGAGATTCATGGAGAATTTACAACTATATAACACGGCATTTTTTAGGATCGATAAGTCCCAACTTAAGATACCAGAAAACCAGTTACACGATCAAAGTCGGCAATGAATATTTCGAATGTTCAGGTATGATATTTTCCGAAGTTTAACAACATATGTATTTATTTATTTAAGGATTTTCTTTTAAATTCGATGTGAACAGGATCGAAAGTGATTCAACCTGGATTTTCGGCAATCATGCATTGGTATATTACACATCTCTTATAAGGAATACGTTTCCAAGCCATTTTTGGGTCGACATATTTTTATCAATTATTTAGGCGCACGATGTCAGATCAAAATATTCCAGAGTACCGTCAAGGTGACATCTTGAAAGTTGTTAGTGTTAATACGACTGAAGGAAAGACCAGTCCACCAGACTACCTAACGGAAAGTGAAGTCATCAGTCTGGTATTACTATTTAACTGGTTTGTTTATTGTAGGGAATGATTGGTGTGAATTGTAATTCCTAAGTTAATTATGATAGATGGAGAAGCATGGTATAGGCACTGACGCCTCTATACCCGTTCACATTAACAATATATGTCAGAGAAATTATGTTTCGGTAGGCTATCTCTGACCTTGTGATCAATTTATTTGATTGTCTATTGATCGATCGCATTATTGTACAGGTTCAATCTTCGGCGAGAAAATTGGTTCCAACAAATTTAGGCAAATATTTATTATGCTATGTTTACAAAATGTATTATTGACGGATATTTCGTAAAATGACATATTGTCTCCTTTTATTGCAGGGATTGTTTTAATTCATGGGTAAAAATTACATATATCTGCTTTTTTTTTATTGTATTGCACTTTTAACACATAATGAGGTTGGTTCATTCATTGATACTTAATTTTATTTTTCTACCTTTGCTTGGCTTTGTTTGGTCTTATAACAGATATCGTATCCTTCGTGTTTGTTAAGTGGTAAGACACATGATTTTCTGTATTTTCGCCTTAATTACAGATTTATCGTGTAGAAAAAATCGATCCTGACCTGTCACTGCCTACAATGCGAAGTGATGTTGAGAAACAACTGAATTATATAGTAACGGGAAAAGCCGCTTATTCCGAAGTTTTAGACCATTCCTTGCGGTTATTCCGAGAAAAATTTAAATACTTTAGGGAGAAGGTTTTGTTCTTTCTTTTTTATTAAGATGTTTCATTTTAAAATGCCAGGTAATCCGGAGCTTATGATAAAAAATTCTAGATCGATCAGATGGATGAATTGTTCGAAGCTACATTTTCCACTCTCGCTTCAACTGGTAAAATTTTATCAAGATGCGGGAAATGCAAACGGTATTATGAAGAACGTACCTTTTTTTTCTTTGTACTCAATTCTCAATATTCTCTCTTAATTTTTGCATGAAGCTATATGAAATATATTTCGATGCGGTAGGTAGATTCTAATATTTCTTGAATATCAAACACCTCAAATAATATACTCCATCTGATTTCTGAATATTAAAAGACCACAACGTCTACACTGTCCACATTGTGACGAAACATATTCTTTGCCGCAAACTGGGACTATCAAGGTATTTGTAAATTTCTATTACTATTACTCCCTTTGTATTCTCTAACTTTATTGATCTTTTTTTTTTAAAAAAAAAAAAAAAGTTATACAAGGAACTCCAATGTGTAAGTGCGATTCAAGCAGATCGAGAATTCGCAAACTATTCTAAATATAATAATTGAGGATTTCTTTTGATTATAGCCGCTTGATGACTTCCAACTGGTATCATTCTCTACTGGATCGAAGGGTACCGGTTATCCTATATGTCCTTATTGTTATAACAACCCTCCTTTCGAAAACATCAAAAAAGGTGAATTTTCATTTTAGTTTAGGGATCG